TCATGGAAGCAGCCTGGCTTTATTCAGGCTTTATTCACAGGGTCTGAGGGGGAAAATGATGTTTTAAAGCGTCACATTAACCTTAATGAGTAGATTACTGAAATCACTGGCATCTATTTTTCATGCATGCACAAAAACTTGAAAAAAGATGGGTTGTTTTAATAAACATCAGAGAAGCACTTCAAATATGCCAGAGCCCAAAAAATTTCCAAACCATTTTCAAATGGTTTATTAGAATCATCGACCAATGTTTTATTCAAATCTAAATCTGTTAAGTACCAAGAAAGTTAAGAACCAAAGAAAAAATAAAATACATAAACTATACCTTAAAAAAGGTTTCATTGCCATCCTGGATTCAGTTAAGTGGTGATGAATACAATATTGGAAGGCTTGAAAGACTAAGTTAGAAATAGACCATCATGATGAAAATCTATATAGTCACCATCAAGCCAATAAATGACTTGATCACATATAAATCCATATAACATTTTAAAACTCTGAAGCTAGAGAGAATCGGACAGAGAAAATAACCTCTTTCCATTTTATGAGTCAGCAATTGTATTGGATTGAAGGTTCGTTTTATAGAAAGATTCCTTCTGTAAAAGAATGTTTATTCTTAAATTTATTATCGCCTTCATCAAGAATCAACTATTAGAAATTGATGTTAAATGTTAAATGTTCTAAAAGTTATGCCAATGACTCATCCATGAAATTATAATATTCAAAGTATTGGCAGTAACTGAGGCACCATGGAAGAGCTGAGACCTCATGGCACCATGTTGCCAATCCTCCATTATGAGGTTCAGTACAGAAATGTCTCTTGGGACAAAAAGAACTGAAGCAAAGAAAACAAATATTGATTTGGACAAATATAGTTTTTACAGGTTAATGCAGCCTAATAAGCGTACTGTAAACTGTCATAGTAGATGTAATAATTAAATCAAGGATGTTGGCATTAAAAATCCTCAGGTAACAAAAATGTACGTTATTTCTGAAGGGAAGAATCATAAAGTAAGAAATATCAGAACTGAGGACATGAACAATTAACCAGTCAGATCTTAGCGGCAGAATTTTTATGGATTCTAAGTGGGTCAAATTGGGATTTACAAAATCTAAAAATATGGTGGCTATGAGACAGGAATTTCAAAGAGATAGGCTGCACCAGTAGAAGGGAACTATGTATTATACAGTTTTCATTAGTTGAATGTTAATGGAATTTACAAAAGACAAAGAATCATTGATGGGGAAACGTCATCAAACTAACATATTCACTATAAAACTACATAAATTTTCTAATCCCTTGACTTAATATAGGGCAAGAAGCTATACTGTATATTCTTGGTAAGCTGGAATGGGAAATAACTACAAAGGTTCCATTTATCTCAAGCATAGAAGACATTTAGCTTTTCTTCAGAAACAACACAAAGGAATAAAATGAAATGAGGAAGAGAATTCCATGAAAATATAGTCAAACTTCCTAGGTATTTTTTTTAGTGCAGTATGCAATGCTTTATCAAAAGCAGCATTAAAGCACACACTGTTTCATTGGAAGATTGTCCTTTACAGTTTTATAAGCTTCTTTTTCAACCAGCCTCATGAGGCAAAGCATTACAAGTTCCATCTTACAGACTCAAGAGAACAAATGAGCTGTGCAGAGTACATGGCTGATGTGAGACTTACAGTAGTAAGTTTCACATCAGCCACGTACTCTGCACAGCTCATTTGTTCTCTTGAGTCTGTAAGATGGAACTCTTCACAGCTCCAACAATCACATCAACCTCTTGTGGCTTAAGAAGGCACAGCACAGATCCTCCTATTCTTATATTTCTATTAAATCCTCCTCTTAAGTATTTTCTTTTCTGAAAGCTCTTGGGAATGTGGTCATTTCTTTAACTGCAGAAAGCATTTTCTGAAAAAAAGTTTCGCACAGAAATATTTCATTCTTTACTGGCAGACAGAACCAAAGAGCCACAATTCTACATGTATTTTAAGAAATGCTTGCTCATTTTTCAAGCTTTGTGGTTTTCCGTACTTTGTCCGCTTGAAACCACATTCCTTCTGAACAGCCAGAGGATACTTCAAGAAAGAAACCTTATATGCTTCTCTCACTAACAGAAAAGGACCTAAAACAGCACAATCACCTATTATACTGTTGTGAGATTGATACAACCTCAAGTGCATTTAGTTGCTTGCCCTTAGTTAAGTAAGCTTTAAGTGCCTTTTTGTCTATGCAGAGAACAAAATGATACCAATGAGGATTATGCAATTAAAATACACAGTAAAGTTCTGTTCGTTAATTATAAAAATCACGTCATCTTGCAATTCGACATATCTCTGAAAAGAAGATACAGTGTCCTTCATAACCAGATGTGACTGAATTTCAAGTCACAGCTGCTTAATTTCCTTATGAGACAGCAAACGCTTTGCATCCCTGCTGATGCATATTCCCTTCTCCCTCGCCTCCCTCTGAATTAACTGCAACAATAGAGCTGTTTTTTTAAAAAAGCACCATCTTTGCCAACAGCTCCATACAAACAGCGTGCTTACCTTCCTGAGGTTTAAAAAGCAGTTTTGCAATAGGAAAAGTGCAAAGCTGCTTTAGAAGACTTTTATTTCAGGATCTCCTTCCCATGGCAGCTTACTAGAAACAGAGATCTTCACCATTTTTCTGATCACATGACCGATGCCAGTTCTAAATAAGGAAGATGATCACCTGCCTTCGGATACCACACTGTGCATATCCAATCATCCGTTCTAATAGGCACTCAAGTAGCATCAAACCCAAACAGATGTATTAAGAATAATTGTTTTTCTTTCATAGTGGCAAGAACGTAACTGTGAAAACTAAATAAAATAAATCTCACAACCAATTTAAAAGCAAGTTTGAAGCTGTGTATGGGATAGCTTTATGTAATCTACATCACTTAAACTGAATTTAAAGCCATATAGTGTTGGAGAATTTCATTTAAAAAAACAGTGCAAAAGAGGGCAGATTCAATGAATATCTTCAGGCAGAATAGAGAATTTTTACTTGGATCTTTAGGCAAAAGCCACTCTTTTTTTTTTTTTGCATTATCCAATTAATTAAAAGGCTATTTCTTTTTCTTGAAAAATATCTTTAAATAAGTGCCAGTCTGTAGAAAATAGAATTAAGAGACATGCAGTCATTTCCATGCTGCATTATGTCTGTCATATTATGAAAATTAGCCTTCCCCAGTTCATAGACTTCCTGATGTGCTGGTGCTAAAATTCCTGACAGTTGAGTAAAGTTGACCTATAGAGCAAGCTAGTTCCCATTCAGTTCTCAGCCTTCAAAATTAAAATAATGTTATTGTACACACAATTATATTTTGGTTGCGGGGCTACTTTTAAGAAAGGACTAGTTACATAAATCCAAATAAATTCTTGGGTAAATTTTATTTTCTAGAATATATATAAAAACAAGAGGAAGGATAAAATTATTTGATAAAGTTAGCAGTCTTTAATTGGAAAAAAACATTCTAATAAACTGGGATGAGGTGGTACAGATTATGCAAAATATAAGGGGAAGGGAAACCCCCCCCCAAATGTTTATATGCCCCACTATTATAATCAGGAGATTTGCAGCTCAAAGACACCTTCAAGAAGACAAAACATCTAAAACATCTGCAATATATTTTGCAAGAATTGGATAGCATTCTGAGACAAGGCATCAACGAGTAATGCACATAAGCATCGGACTGGAGAAAATAGTTAAATCATAAATAACTTGTTACAACAACTTTTCATGCTCTGGTGAAATTACAATCAGTTGTTTTTATTATGCCCATACACAGGACTTACAGAACTGAAAAGAACAGATTCGTAAGGTCACTTCATCATTTCTTCCTCTGCAGTATTTCAGAGGTAAGCCAGATCCCTAGCTTGCCAAAGTTCTACTAAAAAAATCTCTGCAGGTTGAGAACAGAGGTCATGAACTGAGAAAGTATTTATAGGTAGTTTTCATTTAAGAACCACAATTGGAAACAATAACTAGGTCATTCAACAAAACAGTTACTAAGTGAAACAGTAGCTAAAAGAGGACTACCTGTACACGTACAGTGACAGTAGAAATGAGTAAAAACTGAAAGTTAATTTGAAAGGGAGAAGGAAAAAAAATTAAATCAACATGAGAAATAAGCAATGTCTTTTTTAAAAAAAGCCCAGGGACAGGAGTGGGTAAGTGGACAATGGGACAATAGGATGATGGTTGGAATAATTTTGTTCACTACAAACTTTGACATTTGATATCTTAAAAGTTAGATGAGTGCTGTTTTGACCAATTAGATTTAAACTGTATTTATTATTTGATTTGATTTACATCCCACTTTTCTAGCAGACAGTGCCTAAGACACACTTTAAATCAGACTTCTCAATAGGCAGGTTAGCTGCTTGGTAACAACACTACATCACTGTATCAAAATGTAGGTTTGGATTGATATTAACAGAATTTTAAATGTCACTGAATCCATTACTTTAAGTCAAAGACAAATATGTTCTTGTTGATAATATACAGATGTTTCAGGCATGTGGGCTGACACATAGCCTCTTTATGTATCTGATGGAATGAACTGAAGTTCATAACACCTTATGTCTTTTAATAATATTGTTATATCAGGGTCCATCTGAACTTTAGCTACCAATATCTTTGACTATTATTTCCTCCTATAGCGTCTACATTGAGAATATACAACTCTAAATGTAATTCAAAAGTCAAATATCCTTTGAATAGACACAGTCAGTATTAATCATCAATGCATAACTTCATCAGTTGCTGGATTGCTCTATACTGGACTGTTGCAGAATATAGGAGAGGTTGATAAAGTTAGATATCTGCTTAAGAGGAAGCTCTTATACTAGTATAAAGTTTATCCGCCCCTTGCTTTAGTGTGAGCAACCTTCTGAAATGTACCAATACATTCAACAATAATAAATTCAGCAATAAGATTTATAGGCCTTAACATTTATAGGCCTGTTCTTACCCTACTGTTTGATGGAGCTGTCTTTCATTGTCCAAAGAAAGGATCTCGTCTTCTATTTCTTGTTCTTTAACCATGCTGTCTCCAGGAAGTTGTGGATGATCATCCAATTCAATATCAGTAGCAACTACTTGCAAAAAAGGAGCATCTGTTTTGGTATCACATGAAATCTTGTCCTGTTGTTCCCAGGCTTGGTAAGAGCTTTTATCTAATGGGATTTCAATTTGAGTCTCAGAGATCAGTTCCTGACTTAAAACATTGTCTAATTCTTTAATAGATTGTCTGCATAGTGACTCTATTGTGACAGGCTTACTACAATTATCTTCAGATGATACCTCATGCTCTCCATTTTGGCCTACTATAGTCCACTCCTGGTCTTGTACAAGGATGCTACGTGATTTCTTTTCACCTTCCCATTTTTGAGGCACAATAGGAGAGCATTTCTCTTCTAAGTAAAAAGAGTCCCATTCATTCTCCAGAGTAGACTGTGCTTCACTTTCATTTATTATGGAAATTGACTGTAATGTATCTGAGGAGTCTGCTGAAAATGTTTCAAGAGAATCCATTTGTTCAGCAACTGCTGAAAGGAAATTGCTTTCTTGTGTTACCAATAAGTCCTTTGTCAAAGATACATGTTCTTCACCACTAATGAGAACATAGTCCATTTCTAAAGAAGACTGTTCTTCTGCTTCCTGTAATTGTCTATCTTCCTTATTGTCCTTTCTTGTCCTTTCTGGGAACTTGGTCACTTTACTGTCAAAATTAAACACATCACAGACAGCTTCTGAAATTAAACAAAACAGTTTTAGTTAAAATTTAGTTAGAATTCTTTCTGCTAATGTTAAACATGAAAATAATTATCAATTCGTTTTGTATAGTCTCTTATTATTTCACTTTATGTTTTGCTTAGAATAGCTTTTCACATGATAGACAATTCACAGCTGGAAAAGAATACTGTATTTATAATGTGTGTGAATGAATGAGTTTCTCTAAAAATACATTTATTGTATGTCTTCATTTCGAAGAAGATTTTTTAAAAAATAAATATACTTTTTTTAAAAAGTATCTCCATTTTTACATTTTATTTGGAAAAGTTTTGATAATTTATTTCTAATCCATTTCAATATTATAATATATTGAAAAAAAGATTTTTATTTGTCTAGAAAAAAATCATATATTAATAAAATGTGCTAATTTTACTCACCATTGTCACCGTTGCCTACGCTTATGACTCCATCTGCTGGTGAATCAATATGAGTTGATTTTGCTTTGTATTCACATTTGTTCAAATGATCTGTTAACTCAGGCATTATTTCAGAGTCCAACACTAAAGAATCCCAGTTTTCAGAACTTTCTCCAGCCTTGCTATTTACATCATCAGATTTCTTTTCTAAAAGATTATTTTCATCTTCACTAGTTGGTGAATCAATACTATTTGAATATATTTCGTGCATAGGTTTTTTTAAAATACATGAGGGTTGTGATTTCTCATCAGATTCTAATAAAAATGACTCCCAGCCTTGATTTTCTTGGTCTTCTGCAACCTCACTTTTTAAACCGGTAGCTTTAGATTCCAAAATGTCAATTTCACTACCAGCAACTGGAGATTCAATATTACTTGAATCTGTTTCAAACTCAAATGCTTTCAAAGTACATGAAGATCCAGGAGTCCCATCGGACTCTAATAATAGGGATCCCCAACCCTGTTGAGAATATTCGGCAACATCATCTTTTATGACAGTAGTGTTAGATTCTGAAATGTTCATGCCGTCTTCATGAAGAGTGTCCAAACCAAAAGGAGAAACACCTGCTAGTGTTAATTGTTTATGGGGTGATTCTATAAACTCTGGGCTATAATTTTCCTGCGTATTTTGAAGATGTTGTAGACTATCTGCAGAATATTGTATGTCTGTATTATATAGGACCTCTTCTTTTTCTTCTAATGAGGCTTGTGGTGATTGTTTCTTTGTAAGTGTTGGATGAATTTCTATTTTCTCTGATTCATCAATGACTGTTAAAGGATTAGTTTCATTCAGCACCATACATTCGTTATTCGTCATTGGTACCTTAATCATACTATACTCTTCTCCAGTGTCATCAACTGCAGTATGCACTGTTTTCAGCTGTTCACCTAATTCTGTTACATGGCCAATGGCTGAAAGTTTATCATTTCCAGGAAAATCATCACACATAAAATTATTTGTGGCCAAAACAGATTCCTGATTAATATTTTCTTTTTCAACTTCAGATAGTTGGCCATTTGGAGATGTACCTTGGCAGATTTTCTCAAACTTATTTGAAAGACATGAGTCATTTTCTTCAGGACATAATTCCACTCTGTCAATTGCCAGTTCCTGATTAAAATGAAAATCAGTATCTTTTAACAAGATGGGGGACATCACACCAGACTCCTCCTGCTCAGCTGAGGCAGAGGTTTGTGCATATGTTTCCTTGGTTTCATACTGGCAAACATCAGGGCTGCTTGAGGCCTGTGAACTGCTGTCTTGATCAAAGTGATTTAATATATCTGGGTTTTCTCTGCCTGTTTTTAAAATGAAGGGCTGGTCTACATCAGTCCACAAATCTGGACCAATACTAAATGTCTGGCAGTTTCCTGGGGTGCTGTTCTGTAATATGTCAGGAACAAATGGATTTCCTTGGCTAATTCTTTCTTCAGTAGGTGTTGAGCTCAAGGGTTTTGTTAAAGATAGTGAAGGATCAGATGGAGACTTGTTAATAGTCTCTGGCTGCATTTCACTGTACTGATTTATTACTCTGGGGACAAATCTATTTCTAGTTATCATGCTTGGATCAAGTTTTAGATCTTTCCGAGCAACTGCATTTAACGGGCTTGTCTGCCAGTCTTCTGTAACAGTTTGTTTAACGGTATTAAGAGATGGTTCTTGTCTTCTCTCGGTTTCATCAATATGTGGCCATGGTAGTCCATCTTTTTCTCCAATGTTTGCATAGGTTTGACCTGATCCTTCATACTGATGAGTCAGTACAGGTTCCTCATGTTTATTTTCATGTATATTGTTACACTGTGTAGATTCTATTTCATATGTGGAAGTAGCTGTAAGGTTTGGTTCTTCAACTTTTTCATTTATTTTTGGATTTACTGCCCATGTATTATCAGGGATAACTCCTGCATAGCTTCTTTGTAAATCATTTCTAAAATTCAATCCAAGTGAATTCTCATTTTGTTTTTCCAAATTCCACCATTCGAATGCATCATCTGGAAATCCAAAACATTCTTCTACATATTTTTTATTTTCATCTAATGCGCTTTTTGCATTATCTTGCAACAGAATATCCCAGACATCTAAATTATTTGGTTTGTACATTTCTTCATTATTTACAGCAGATGTTTCTTCAATGTGATTATGTACATCATCCTGATCTATTTCCCTTTCTATAAAACATTCAGATGTTTCATGGGCATAGTCTTCTGTTATAATATTAATATCTTCAGAGGTTTTATTTAATGCATCCATGTGAACATTTTCCTTCAACTCAGGTTGACTTTTTGAATTTTTTGAACCAATTATAGGATTTGTTTCATTGGAATGCAAAGATTCCTTCTCTCTCATAGCATCCTCTAATTTGTCAGAGTCTAAATCTGACTCTATTCCACCCTGATGTATATTTGAACATTCTGAAATTTCATCTGTTCCAGGACTTGATAATGAAGATGTATCATCATCCACATGAGCATTCCAAAGAACTAAATTTTTAGGAACTTTGTGATCAGTGTTTATTTCAGAATCTTCTTGGCTTTTGTTTCCAAGGAATTCCTTTCCAGATTCATCTATTTTGATATCATTTGTAACATCCCATATACTTTCACTCTGATTATTACTTCCTTGAAAATTCTCCCTGGTATGTATATTAGTTGAAGAATCACTTATCTCTGGGCTTGTTGGACCTGAGTATATATCATTGGTAATGGAACCACCGCTGCTATTATCTTCCTCACCAGTAATTTTGAGAGAAGTATTTGCAGGGGAGTTACTCGATCCTTCTGATATTTCATTCTTCATGGGGCTTAATCCATCAAACTGGTTTTCTTCACTCACTGATGTATTCCAAGCATCAAGGATTTGGGACAATTCATGATGCAGTATAATATTGATACATTTTTCATGGGTGAACTCATTCTCACTCTCCACACTTTCAGGAGTTTCACTTAATTCAGAAGAATCAGCTTTATAGGGTAATAAATTGTTTAGTTGTGGCTTATCTGTTATATTCAGTGGTTCAGTATGTTCTGTATATAGATTCTGTGGAAATCCTTGATTTTCGTCATTTGAACTTGTGTCATCAATATCGAGCATTTCTGAAATTTCTTCACAACTTTCTAATTCAAATGTGTCAGTGTTTAAGTTAGGGGTTGACTCTGCTCCTATTGATGGTTGTTTTTCACCATTCAAAAGAAGATTTGATTGTTCTGACTCTGAAGCATTCATTTCTGATCTATTCATCATGTTTTGATTTTCAACCATCATTGGAAAAGGCTTGCTTTGATTACATTCTTCTCTGGGAGAAATTGAAGAGGGACTTTCCATGTCAGGAATATTGTGTTCAGACAGACCTTTATCAAAAGGTTTAGAAACTAGTGTAGACACTCCCCCTGAATGGTACTTTTGATATTCAATCATGTTAAAATGATCCAAATTATCATTATCTTCTTTGGGAGACATAACAACATGTTTTGCATTACTGTTTTGGGATACCTCATTTTTTTCCTCTGTGATAAGATGAGTCCAATTGGAAAATGGTATATTTACTTCTAGTGGCTTTGCTGCTACTTCTTCCAGACTTCCACTAGTTATTGTTTTTTCTGGTGAACTGGGATAATCAGAAATTGTTCTGCTTTCTTCTGAACTATTAACATATGAAAGAGGTAGTAAAAGTGACAATGGCATGTCATTTTGCATTGTTTCATTTCTAATATCATTAAGAGGCAGTGACCCTACAATAGTTTTATTTTCAATGATTTCTAGTGCTGAGGAGTAAGTTAAGCTGTTATCCTCCAGTGCAACTTCTTGATTGTGCCGAAGATGTTCAGACTTTTGGTCAAATTGCTTATTCAGAAGTTTATTTTCTTGATCTGATTGATTTTTTTGTCGAAGTTGATAATTAACTAAAATGTCATTTTCTGTATCATTTGGTTCAAAACAAGGAGATCCTATGTCTTCACAAACGATTTCATTATTCCTGTCACCATTTTCTTCCATTGTGCACATAATACTACTTAGAGGAGAATTATTATCTTTTTGTGCAGGGATCATCATCATTCCACTATTTTCAGAAAGACTACTATCATCAACATCATAGTCACCTGTAAAAACCTCTGCAACTTTTTGTTCTGAATCATATACAACATCATCTTTTATATTAAGCTCAGAATGTTCAGCTTCTACTTGTTTTTCATTATTAAGGGTTAGTTTCCAAGCTTCACCGTAATCAGATGAACATACAGGAAATGTTTCTGGCAATGATTTATTATCTGTTAAATCATATGTTTCTGTTCCAATTTCATCTGAATTTGAGTTTCTTATTTGGTCAAAGATTGACTTTCTATCAGTATATTTGTCTTCACTTTCTTTTTCATCTCCAACACCTGTGGGTGACACATATGAATCAGATGTTGAATAATTTGTATCTGGTGGAGAAACAATCAGATCTTCATCTATATTTGAGGTAACAAACTCTGGATCTTTGTATGACAGGAAGGGATCTTCCCAAGAGCCAAGGTTTCCAAGCATATCTTTCCTGATGTTTGAATCACAGGGATCCCATACAGTAGTATTGTCAGACTTAGTATTACTATGGTTTTCCATAATCAATTTAACATCTTTCTGCACAATGCCAAAATTAGATTTTGCATTGTTATATGCCATGTGATTTTCTAATGAGCTATCTTGCCTGTTGTTTTGAGAATTGAAATCAATTTGATTTTTTGGATTTTCACTTAAATCATCTACAGAGAATTCCAGCAAAGATTTAGACATAGAATACTTATCAAAATTTTGTGAAAAGTGATCAAATTCCACTTGAGGAACATTCCATGGATGTTCTGTGGGTCTTGAGATATCATGATCAAACTCTGCCCAAACATTAGGCAAGTTTGTCTTTATATGTCCACTATTGTTCCACTCTCCACAAGCTGGTTGACTGGAGTTCCACACATTAGCAAATTCTTCTTTTTGCTGTTCATCATCTTTCTTTTGATACTCCAAAGTATTTTGGGCAGGACTAAATGGTTTTTTCCAAGTATCTGTTCTTGAAAATTCCATATGCTTTGGTTGCTTTTGTATACATGCTGAATCTGATGCTCTTCTATCAGCTTGCTGTCTCAGTAACAGATTTACTTTATAATCTTTCCATGAATCAGGACTCTGAAATACAGATTCTGGCTCAGTTGAATTCCATGCATCAACATTTTTGGAATCTAATTCAAAACCATCCCACCAGCTTCCGTATCTAATGCGAGAATGAGGATTTTTAACATGATCAATTTCATTAATTCTTTCAATTATATCTTGTGGATAAAATAAAGGTGGCCCACTATCTAAAGGTGATGTTTCTACAAGGCTATTCATTGGCGTTGGTGGAGTTCTCCTCTCACCACTTTTCAAGATTTCTGGACAAGAGGAAAATTCATTTTCCAAGTCAACCAAATTTGATTTATTATCAGAGAAACTTTTGTGATTTTCTTCTTGGTGGCCAGATTCATTCAATGTTACTATATAATCATACTCATTTCTTCTTCTAAAATCTATTGAATAACTTGCAATATCACATTCTGATAGATTTGTCTTTTCATCTGCTTTTGAACTAGTTGACAACTGCTCTTCTGATGAACCACTGTCATGGGAGAAATCATCGACAGAACAGTCCACCAAATGTGAAGACAATGTCTCAACTGATGGCATAGGTGCTAAATCAAAATTGAAAAGATCATAATTGTCACTGCTATTTCTAGATGGAGGCTTTTCTTCTTCAGCAACTGCTCCTTCAGGAATGGGACTATAAGAGTCAAATCCAGAAAGAAAACTGTGATGAGAAGCACCCCCTTCTGCTACCGGACTATCATCACTAAGAAAAACTGAGCTTTCTTTAGATGATCTGCTGCTTCTAATAGTAGCAAGACCACTGTCAGGACTCACAAGATCTATGTTAACATCAGCATGGGCTTGCACTGATCCATTATGATCTTGAGGGTTTTCTATAAAGTTCACAACATTAGCTTGTGCTTCAATGTCTGAACCATATAGTTCCATAATACCAGAAGATCCTTGAGATAGTGGAGCACTTCCAGCCACAGCTTCAGTGGAAGATGTTCTACTGTTTGGTGCCATTTCAGGATGTCTTCTGCTGATCACATCTTTCATTAGCAAAAAAATTTCATCCCCATTGGCTACATAATTCTCTTGCTGGTAAATAAGAAGTTGGTCACATCCATATTCCATAGGATCCAGTTCCAAGCATGGATTCTGACACTCTTCTAATTCGCAGCAAATCTATTAAGGAAAAAAAGAACACAGAACACCAGAGCTTTGTTTGATCAACTGTACATAATGAAAGTAAATTTGGTAAAAATTAATACTGATTTTGTTGTCTACTTCTTTTTACTTTGTAATACTTTTCATGTTCTAATATACTGTAAGCAAGTATTTTCTGCTTAAGCAACAGGACTTAAGTAAAATAAAACTTTAGCATATGGATTTTAGAGAGTCTAGTATTAATGATCTTGGTCCCTAATATTCCCCTCACCTTAGAAGAATAAAATAAAATATTGTTATTCAGAATTCTCAGTTCAGCATTATTTAGAAGCACCAGGTGTAACAACAATAGCGTCCACCTTTCCCAGAATTCACCAGAACCTTACTGTATTAGGATGGGGGCAAATTCTGGAAAAGGAAGTATTGCACTAATATATGTATATGTTTGGGGGCTTAATTCAGTTATTGCTAATCACTGCCTAATAAATTTCTGTGGGACTGGAGGCAAAGAATGCTAGGTCATTTCAATGTGATTCTAAAGCAAAAGCCAATGAAATGCTTAAGAAAAACTTTAAATTTGTTATTGGGTTTATTTAATTACTAACTTACCCCTCTAATTAATGGACCATGAAATATGTACTCTGATAAAGAGTACACAATGAAACATTAGTGACATTTCCATCATTCTTACATGACTTAATTATGCTATTAAAATATTTATCTAATAATAATAATACCCTATAAAGATATGCTGGAACTATGAGTCCCAGGATTGTTAGGAGCATGGCCAATTTTAGACAGGCTCATCATATTCTTTCCCAATTGGGAATAAACATTTGACCATAGCAGTCTGTAACATTTAAAAATGTTAATGATAATATTTGAAGTATGTTTTTATTCTTTAGAACAGGAATAGATGTTTTGTATATATTTTTTAATTTCAAAGACTGAATTGCAAAAAAAGGTATATCAGTACTGTAGTCCTCACTTACCGACTACTCGTTCAACAGTCATTCAAAGTTACAATAGTGCTGAAAAAGGAGATTTATGACTGGTCCTCAAAGTTACAGTTATTGCAGCTTCCCCATAGCCACATGGTTATGATTTGGGTACTTGGCAACCAGCATATTCTTACAGCCGTTGTAACATCTGATGGTCACATGATCACCATTTGCAACCATCATAGATGACCTCTAACAAGCAAAGTTAATGGGGAAGCTGGCAGGAAGTTTACTTTACAACTATGTTGCTTAGTGGTCAATGAGTGAGAACTACCTATAGAACAGGCCTGTCAAACTGGCAGCCTATGGGTTAGATACTGCCCATGTAAGCCCTGGCTGCACAAAGGCAAAAAACATCGTGATGCATCACGATACGGCCCACAATTTGATTGGGCTTGACACCCCTGCTATAGAGCAAAAAATAATAGATAATCTCAAAGGTACTCCTCACTCTCGCAAATATGAGTATATCCAAATTGTTTGGTCTTTCTATGATACAGTGTCACATTAATTCATATTGACAAGTTAATTCATATTCACAATATATTAACATAAGAATAAAGTCAAACTAGAGTCTTGGACATTAAGAGGTTTAATTTCAATAAACTTAGAGCTTGGGAAGGATTCCATGGATGAGAATCCTCAAGGGGAAAACAATCCAAGAAGCATGGGAAACTTTGAAAAATAAGATTATAAAAGCCCAGTCTAGCACAATATCAATGAAGAAGAAAAAAACCAGCTCTCAAAAGAAACCAGCATGGGTACACAAAGAATTCTCTGACAAATTGAAAGACAAAAAGGACAAGAATAAAAAGTGGAAAGAGGGGCACATAACTAAGGCATAATATCAGCAAATAACTCGAACTTGCAAAGATGAAGTGAGGAAAGCTAAGACTCAAAATGAACTAAGGCTTGTGACAAAAGTCAAAAATAACATGTTCTTTCAACATGTAAAAAACAGAAAAAAGTCAAGGAAATGGTTGGTCCATTAATGGGAGAAAGTGACAAAAGGTGGAAAGCAACAGGGAGAAAGTAGAACTGCTAAACTCATTTTTTGCATTTGTCTTTACACAAAAAGAAAAACCAGTCCAACCTATCAAAAACAGTATGGTAAAGAAATAGATTAGGAACACAAGTTAATGGGGGGGGGGGGAATGGTAAGCGAGCACCTGTCCATCCTAGACGAGTTCAAATCACCAGGACCAGATGAATTATACCCCAAGATTCTAAAAGAACTGGCAAATGTGATTCAAAGATCCTGGAGCAAGATCCTGAAGCAAAGATCCAGGGCGGACTGGAAAAGAACTAATGTAGTTACCATTTTCAAAAAAGGAGGTGTCGTGCTACCATTGGAATCTGAATCTGAGGGGGAAGATGAGCTGGAACAAGAGCCGACAGAGATTGAAAGGGCAGCTCCATTGGCCTCCTTGGAAGAAACTGGAGAAGAGAAGAGTCAGTCTAGGCAAGGCTTTTCTGAATTAATAAAGCCTGAAGACAGGGAGGAGCAGGAGAGAGAGAGCTCAGGAGAAGAGCAAGGTCTACCACCTCCCAATCCTAGAATAAGGAGGGAAAAGAGAAGGCAAGATTAACGCAGATTGAGATGGCTACGAGGGAGGAGAGTGCCCTGCCTCCTTTCCCAAGGCACACCTGGGGACTGAGATGTAGGGAGGTGCTGGTGGGAGGAGCATTTGTCAGGAACAACACAGCGTTGATCTGTGGAGCCTCGTGTGCACTTGTCAACGCCTGGAGATTGCTGTACTCTGTCTTGTGGGGCTTGCCCAGTTTGCCTGCTTTGCTGAATTTCTTGCTCTGGTTACTGTTTGGCTAACCTGGCTTATTGGACTGCTGTCCTTGGTTGCTATGTGGCTAATCTTGCTTACTGGACTACTTGCAGCCAGAGGCTTCTGAAGGTGCATTTGAAAGTTTTGCTCCAGGACGTGTGGTGAATGTGGGGACATTTGAGAGCACAGTTGGAGCCATAAAGGGGTGTTAGACCTGTTCTCTGGTTGTGTTGCTTTTGTGCCGTGCCCTGGGTCATCAAGGGGGTAAAAAGATCCAGGAAACTACAGACCTATCAGTCTGAACTCAATACCTGGGAAAATTCTGGAAAAGATAATCAAGCAACGAATCAGTGAACACCTAGAGGCAAAAAAAAAAAAAGTCATAACCAAAAGCCAATATGGTTTTGTCAAAAACAGATAATGCCAGACAATCTTATTGTATTCTTTGACAAAGTGAAGTTAGTGGACCAGAAGAATGCTGTGGATATAATTTACTTGGACTTCAGTAAAACATTTGATAAAGTAGATCACAACCTACTACTTGATAAGATAAAAAAAATATGGGTTAGACTGCATAACCACCAGATGGATTCATAACTGGCTGACGAACCGCACTCAACGTGTAGTCCTCAATGGAATTGCATCTACATGGAGGGAGGTATGCATTGGGATACCCAAGGCTCTGTTTTAGGCCCAGTGTTCGTCAACATCTTCACCAATGATTTAGATGAGGGGATAGATCGGGAACTCATTAGATTTGCAAATGACACCAAGCTGGCAGGAACACTCCAGAAGATAGGCTTAAGATACAGAAGGACCTTGATGAGCTTGAACTTTGGGCACTATCTAACAAAATGAAATTCAATGGTGAAAAAAGTAAGGTTTACATTTAGGCAAGAAAAACCAAATGCGCAGATAGTATAGGCGATACATGGCTCAATAGTAGTAACCGTGAGAGGAATCTCGTAGTCCCAGTGGACAATCATTTAAATATGAGCCAGCAGTGTGCTACAGCTGCCAAAAAAGCCAACACAGTTCTAGGGTGCATAAATAGAGGGATAGAATCAAGATCACATAAAGTATTAATACCACTTTATAATTCCTTGGTAAGACTAGACTTTCAATACTGTATCCAGTTTTGGTCCCCACAATGTAAAAAAGTTGTTGAGACTCGAGAAAGAGTGCAGAGAAGAACAACAAAGTTGATTAGGGGAGACTAAAACATAAAGGATGCAGCTGGAATTGGGTATGTCTAGTTTATTGAAAAGAAGGATTGAGATGACATGACAGCAGTGTTCCAATATCTCAGGGGTTGCTACAAAGAAGACGAAGTCAAGCTATCCTCCAAAGCACCTGAAGGCAAGACAAGAAGCAATAGATGGAAATTAATCAAGAAGAAAAGCAACCTAGAACTAAGGAGAAATTTCCTGACAGAACAGTAAATAAGTGGAACAACCTGCCTCCAGAAGTTGTGAATGCTTCAACACTGGAAGTTTTTAAGAAGAAATTGGACAACCATTTGTATGAAATGGTATAGGATTTCTGCCTGAGCAGAAATCTAGAAGACCTCCAAGGTCCCTTCCAACTCTATTATTCTGTTATATTCTTATATAATACTTATTTAATATTCATACATACAAACAAAAATAACCTTTCCCATTGAATTTAGAAAAATATTTCTACAACTTCATCACAAGATAGAGTTTAAGATTAGGTATATCTATAAGAAAACATATTTTAAAATTAAATATATCAAAAATATCAAACAAGGAACAGTAAATAGTATAATATACTGTATACAACCCTAGAGTTGGGGACCTTCTAGGACATGGAGAAGAAGCATGTCTTTTCTTCAACCAAAGCAATCAATACAAATATGCTTTCATTAAAAAAAGTAATTATTGTGGTGTGAACTTTAGATAGCAAAAAATACAGAAACTAGCTTAGTGCTAATATACAGTATTTATGACTACTCTATCTAAATATGCAGATTTAAAAACTATACTGAGAAATCCATGCACATTCATGATATGTGTTAAATAAAAATGACATAATACTATTAAAAGAGAGTTCAGTTTTTAAAATTTAGAATTGTTTTTTCTTTTCTAATTTTCCTATCATTTAACCAACTAATGATGTTTTATTGTTCTTAGATCATTCTAGAAGCTACTGTTCTATTCTTGCAATATTGTTGAAGAATTTAACATCCTGTATTATTAAAAAAAATAATGGCAAAATATGATTGCATCCCCTATGACAATGTCAGTTTTTATATTATTTCATTTTCTTTTCCAGAATACATACCTGATTTCCTAGCTCCATGTTTTCTGAATAAACTGCTATTTGCTTTTTTTCTTGTCCTTCTGATAAGTAGCTAGCCGAAATGACAAGGACATCAAAACCATATTTATCTACAAATGCTTTCAGGTCTTCATTGATATTTCTGTGAAACAGATAATCCTGTAATATGACAAATCAACTATTTATTGAAGAAAGTAATTGAATTAACAACTGAGACTGTCATGTCCATACATACAAAGTGATATTTTAAATCATTTGAATACCTGAAGTAATGATAGGTCTCTGAAGTTTTTATTGGGATGAAATTTTCAGCAAAAATAAAAGCATCTTAGGCCATACAAAGTCTTAATTGGGAAGTATGATATGATGATAATAGAGCCAGAGCTTTCAAACATTAACAGTCTGAGGTACAACATGAACTCAACTGCATTATTCTGACAATCTCTCTTCTGCACTGTCCTATCAAACTATTCTCCCAGGTCATTTATTCAGGCACATTGAACTATGGAAGAGCTTCTCTTTAAAAAAAAAATGTTTCTCTTTATAGAAATCCTCAGTTTTTATTTTAACTCTGCAGCCATTTTTAAAACCTGCTGTGGGTTTATTGGGTTTACAATAAATAAGAAGTGCTGTCAAACATATTTCATCATAAATAATACATAAATACAATAATAATAATATGTAATAAGTTAGTCACATTTTATTTCTAGATATTTTAAGAGAGAAATCTACTTTAATTCCTTGAATCATAAATAATTTCAATTTGCTTTGCCACTCCTAAACTATTTAGACAAAAATATGGAAGTAATCTTACTTTTAAAAATACTGGCTGTTTCCATTCTTTTGTGTGTGAAACTCAATTTTGTGCCATTATTTTCATAAGAATAAGTCCCTTAAATTTTGCTCAGGAGCAATATGGTAATTTGCATTTTTTTGTTATTTTATCCTGTAAAAATCTGAATATGTTTAAAATACTTAAAGGGCAGGGAAAAAATCCTGCTAACTTGCCATTCAAGTACAACATAGAGAGATACAGAAGTGCAGGAAGAAAATATACAGCCAAATATATTGTCACATTTCTTTTTTGTGAGAGAAAGCTGCATAATTAAAAAATAACACAATTTTAAGCATAGGACTAAAATGAAATTTGTTTTGTTTTTGTCCTTCTCAATAGTTAGAATACTTTCTGATTGATGGCATATGGCAGTTGATTACTCAAGTGAGTCTTGTGTAAATGTTCATTGTTCATACATCAGACTCTCTGGAGAAACTAACTGTGTCAATATTAACCTGCCCAAATTAAAAATAAGATGTCTTTTTTGTTCTTCACACTTCTTGCGTGGGGAGCACAATATGGCTTTTGTCAGAGATGCTCCATCATTTTGGCTCAAAGAAACTGTCACTTACAGCATGAGATTTGTTATTCATGGCCAGATATCCTGATGGGTCTAATGAAGCCTTTCTGCTGACAACTCATTTGCTAAAAATATCCAAGTATCGCAAAGTATAAATGAGGAATATATTTCTTTCCTCATTACTCTGTGTTCTCCTCACATTGACAATTATGTCATGAACCCCAATGATCTTCAAGCTGTAGAAAGGTGAGCAGTCTCTTCGTAGCCAATGCTTCAGTTTGCTCTTTTCTGTTTTATGAACTTATGGGTAAACTTTATGACATCTTTAAATTGCAATATAATAGGGTAAACATCAGTGTTTTTGCACACATGCCGTGCCAACAGCCTGTATGCTGTTTGTTGAAAAATGTGTGCTAATTACTGCAAACCCCCTCCTGAACCCAGACATGGATGACTTTTTGATAAAAGTTTTCAGGTAATAATACTAATTAGCTTTGTTACAGACACATTACAAGATCTGAATATCTGAACATTGGGTTGACTAGGTGATGCTCAGGGTCTGGGGGCTGTGTGAGTCTGGATCATAATCCGGATTTTGGGGCTACCCAGGTCTTCAGATTTCCCCTTCCCCTCCCTGGACTTGAATAGTTATGTTGTTCCCTTTGGGAGCGGTGCATAATTTGGACCCAAGGAGCAAGTGACAACTGTGGCCAGGGAGGCCTTTTCACAAATCCAGTTCAGAGCTCTAGTGAGGAAGGTGCTGGCCTAGAAACCAGGAGATGGGGAGTTCTAGTTCCACCTCAGGCACGAAAGCCAGATGGGTGACTTTGGGACAATCACAGGAGAAGTGAGTTTAAGTGCTGCCTGTTCTATGGCTTTCTGACCTTTGCGGTGTTTTCATATGAGGACGTTCTGGGATTCCTATTTTTCCCAGTTCCACAACATGATACAATTGACCCAATTAAAAACCTGTAATTAGTTAATTACATACTGATTTCTTTTTGGTATGCTTTGGCTTTCTCAATTATAGTGTACTTCAGTAATAACATCTCATGTTCCTCAGTCTTTTGTAAAGCCAACTTGAACATCTCTTTTTTCATATAGAGTCCTAATTATATTCCCCAGATACAATAATTCCAACTACTGTCCTGTTGAAACCACCCTATTTGATGAATGACAGGGTATAATTAACTCTACAGCTTGTGTACTTTGGGAACAACATCCTTTTTCTTATATTTTTAGCTGACATTTTTCTATTTCATTGGTTAACCCAATTTTAGCCACTTTTTCATACCTTGCATAATTGTATACGTTCCAATCATTCTCCATACCCCACCATATTTATTTATTGTTTTTGCCTAATCTAAAAAGTCTTCAAACATTCATTTTTCTTATATCAATATTGTTTCAACCCCTTGTACATTTTGGTTGCCCTTTTTATTCTTTTTTGACAACAGAAGTCAGAATTACATCTAATATTCCTCAACCCATAGATTTGTGTAAAACATTAATTTAACACAGAGATACAGAACTCCATATGGGACTGTCCTTGAAAACCACACGGAAACTTCAAGTGGGCCAGAATGCAGTGGCACAATTACAGTATTGTATGAGCTGCAATGGCTCCCTGATTCCTCCTGGGCAAAATTCAGAATGCTGGTTATCACCTTTAAAGCCCTGAATGGTATGATACCCAGCTATTTGAAGAGCCAGCTCTTTCTAAAGGTATTTGCCTATCCTAGCATATCAAATAAGAGAGGCACATACCAGCATTCCCATCAAACAATATCACTGGATGGGAGATCCAGGAGGTGGGTCTCCTTCACAGTAGGAGTGCCTACTTTGTGAAACAGGTTTCATCCTATAATCTGAAGGACCCACAAGAATGCTGTGTAGTCTTAGTTGTTCTCTGAGCCTTATAAAGGTACATTTGGTGTGAAAGTGCTATGGCACCTTGGCTGGTTTGTGATTTTAATTCTGTAGAGTTTTTGCTTTATTTTTTTATGTGTTTATAGGACTTGATTGCTGTTGATCACTGAAGATTAATATTAATATATACTACATAACCCTGTGAGCAGTTGGGTCATCCTTTGAGAGAAAGGTAATGCAGTCTGATGTGACCAGAATGAACTTTACATTTTAGGATGACCAGATTTTTTTAATCCAATGCTAGAAAGTCCCATGATCATCTATGAAGAGTATATATTGTAAATTTTAAAAAATGACTGTAGTGGCAAATAAAGTTCAATAATATCAATATTTATTTTCCTAAAAAGATACACAGAATGACCAAGGTGAACAAAAAAAAAGTAGTGGGAAGAAACAACTTTCAACTTTCTGTCAGCTTTCCTATTGACTTTACTTGTGGGAAACTGATAGGGAGCATTGGAGATCATGATCATGTGACCATGGAGATAATGCAGTGGCCATAATTTTGCAGGTAAAACTGATCTGACCATTGCAGAAATTTCAGTTGCACAGGATTAATGGAACCCAGATTTTTTACACATTCTTTATGTTAGCAGAGTTTAGGTACCTCAATTCAAAAATTGTTGCTACTTGGGGATACAAATAGAGAAATAGATATACACAATGAGAGTTTCAATGGTACATAGATAAGATGAACAATCATATAAAACTTTTAAATAAATTAAGTAAATACATAAATACTTCTATTTTTTAAAAAATAATTCCATTATATGACTGTTTCTTAACAGCAGAAGTTTGTTTTCATCAAGCTATTCACCACTAGGCTTAGAATTCTTTCCTGGTCAATTGTACCAACTTGAACCATATGCATATTAAAAAAAGTTTTGACACAATATTCATCATTTTACACCACATTTCCCTTTAGCCAATCTCATTGTACACATGTTGTACTCTGACAATAAAGGTAATAACTTTTTAATTCTACCATTTTCAGAATGGAAAATTTTTCACTGCCCCTATTTAAGTATTTTAAATAACATGAGGCCAGAAGTCAATTCAATACTCACCTCAATCCCAGATAATTTATGAACAAGCAAAAGGACAGTTTTCCCTAATGATCTTCTACTATTTACTGTCTTGTTTCCCTCTTATTATTTTGGAATCTAAAGTACAAAAACTCCTTAAGGTTTGTAACTTCTTACACTTAAAGCGTTTTTCTTGAAAAGCTGCTCAAACAGATCCATAGTATACCATTCCACAATCTGTTCTTACATTTAAGACACCAAGAGAAATGCATTGTTTGACAAAAGTGCCGTGGTCAGGCTGCAAGTAATAAAGTACTAAACTGTGCAGAAAAATGACCAGCATACTTACTGTCCAGGAGCTGTCTATTAGTAAGACCGTCCCAAGGGTAAATTTATATTCAGTAATTTGTACCATCACCCATGCAGTATTACTGTCATGCAAACATGGTAATAAAGAAACACATTTCTTGCTGTCAAGAAAATGTCTAGGAAAATTAATCAACCATTCATCCATCCAGGCTCTTTGCATACCCTTTTCTCAAAGAGGGAAAGCTAAGAGATTCTTTGCCTGTTCCGTGCACTCATTGCAATAGACTATCAAATCCATCAAGCTTGAATTGATTTATTGAACTGTCTCTTAGCACAGCAGTACTACTACAGCAAATGAACTGATAACTGATAACAACTCAGTAATGTTCAGCAGTATCTGATGCATTAAGTTCCTTCCCATAGATTAAAGATTTTTTAAAGGTCTTGAATCGTGGCTCAGCAAACAACTGAGTATTCCAAAATGATAAAGTTAGAATATTTGGAAAACAATTTGAAGATACTGCTAATGTTCTTCACAAAC